GGTTCGCCAGAGAAAGTGTCTGAGGAGCCACGAGAGCTGCTCACATCTTCATGTTTGTCTTTGCAAGTGCAGAACAGAAGACACACTTCTCATTTCTCCTGCAACGATTCCCGCAGGAGAGGTGCAGCTCCCTCGGATGATGGTGATGGTGGTGACGGCGCCTGGAACAAAGAGTTCACAAATCTGACGTGCACGCTCGTCCTCGCGCGTGCACACACCTGTAGGCATCAGAGGCTACAGCAGCCTAATTACAGTGATGCTGCCTGCTGCCAATTTGTCCACGCTTACTGACATCCAGCTCACACACACACCAACACACACCTACACACACTCACGTATCTGCACCGCTAAAAGGCTTCGTGCTGAAAAAGCTCGGTGCTTTTTCCTGCGAGGAAAACAAATGAACAAATCAATATTTCATTTTTCTACTTTGGTTTGGCATCAAACCAGGAAAATTATTGTGTTTAACTATCTTAAAATGGTTAAAATAGAAGCAGGTTTGATTCCTGTTTTTCTGTTTGTTTGTTTGTTTCATGGCTCGGAGTGAACAACAGCTGTCAGCCTTCTCACTGATTTCAGATAATCACCTCACCTGTCCTGCTCACCGGCCTGTAGCTGCATCATCACCAACATACAGGAGTTATTATCAGGCTGGGCTCCTGGTGACCTCTGATTAACATCGCTGGCTGTCGTTAACACCAGTTAAAAGTCCTGCTCCTAATTGCTTCTGGCTGCCTGCTACACATTTCTCACAGCTTTGAGCACACGTCCACAGTTTCAAACAGGTTCCATGACCTGAAAACACACAGACGAATATCAATCACACATCAGATTAAACATGCAAGCAGCTGCTGCTGCGATGCAGGTCATTAACATCACTAAACCAGCTGATGATTGTTTTCATGGTCTGGAAGTTGATTTAAGTGCATGGATTAATAATAATATAATCATCATCACAAAAAGGTTTATTTGCATAGCACCTGTTAAAAAACAGTGTGGCACAGTGTTTTACACACAGCAAACAGCAAAAACAGAGATAAACGGCAGAAGAATATCCAATATGTTTGGTGATTTAGAGGAAGAGAGTGATTTGTTGAGTGCGAGCTCCTCTGCACATCATTCCAGGGCCTCGGCGGCCCGACAGTAAAGTTCCTTCCAGTTCTAAATCTGAGCCAGGAACAGCCAGAAGGTTCTTGTCTGAGGACTGGTTGATAGAAGGAGGAAGCTCTGAAATACCGCCTGGCGCCTTTCCATGAGGAGCCTTAAGATCGATCAATAAAATCCTAAATCCTAAACCAGCCTAATGATGCTAAAGGCTGCGAGCTAGTCGGTGATTGTTGACTTGATTCCTGATTTATAATTCTTTAAAGACCTTGGCAGGCATTCAGGCCTGATTAATAATGACACAAGCACGTGGAGCAACGTCTGCACCTTTAAAAACGTAAAACTGGTTGAATGTTGGTGATGGAAACGGGCCTGGACAGGTTTATGTGATAATCAAAGTGGAGGCCAGAGCTCGGCTTAATGCGGTCATTTGTAACCAACCCCAGACAAAATAAATAAATTCAAGAATGCGCTCCGGTCCTCTGGTAGTCACCCTGTGTCTCACCCACAGCTCTGTCTGACTGGTTATAAGTTGTGAGCAATCAACCCTAAAGGATAAATTCTGAAAAGTTCTCTTTTTATTAAGCGAATAAACCGAACCAGACAAAGGCTTTCCAACAAACTTTTGAAATGGAGTTCCTGTTATTTCTAAACTAACCACTGGCACAGATATCGGCATAAACTACATGTTAAAGATGGACGCAGCCTCTGGGTCTGAAAGTGAAGCCAACATAGAAGTAACTTAAACCTGCGTCCTTCTAACCACCAGCAGGGGGCGACTCCTCTGGGTGCAAAAACAAGTCTGACCATATAGACGTCTACAAGAAAACGACTGCTTCTCTCTTGATTGCTTACCTCACGAAAAAGTAGCTTCAGGACTTTTTAAATACGACATGATCATGATCCCATTTAGAGCAAGTCCATTTTTCATCAGTCTGACCAATCATGACCCCAGAGCTGTCCAGAAGAACTGAATTAGCTTTCTGATGTGATCTTACATAAGTAATGAAGCTGCTCTGGTGACGTACGGCCTCCCACTGGGCGTCTCTGAGGAACATCAAATCAAAGAGACAAAAACACGAGTGTTTGTTCATCGATACGACACAACGCTACAAACTGGGTGAATCAATTCAGAGCGGCTTCCTCGTCCTCCTGGTCGCTCTGCAGCCGGAGAGACGCCGTACACAACAGAATACAGTGACAGGATTGAAACACGTTGGGCGATCAATAAACATGTCTGTCCAGTGTTTGCCTTCACAACCGCCTTCAGTCTTCGTGTCAGGTGTTGGAAATGTTCCTCAGAGACTTGGTCCATATTGACAAGACGGCCTCACACGGGTAGTGTGGATGATGCAAATCACCTGAAACGAGCTCCGTAGGACTGAGAGCTGGTGACTGTGGAGGCCGTCTCACCTGATCTTCAAGAAACCAGCGTGAGGCTTTCATCATTCCTGCTAAAGGAGCCACGAGAATATCACGGTGGTCAGAAGGAGATGGACACGATCACAAATATACCTGGGAAGGTGTTCACATGATGCCTGGTAGGTACTAAGGGGCTTAAAGTGTACCCAGGAAACATCCTCCACACCATCTACCACCATCTGATTGGTCATACAAGGTGGGATGGATCCAAGCTTTCATTGTATTCACGACAAAATCTTCATGAGACCACACAACGGTTTTCCAGTTTCCCATTCTTCAGCTGGACCTGTGAACCCAGTCCATCTGCTTTAATGTGGACTCTGAGATGCTGTTCTGCATACTGTGGTTGTACCCGGTGCCTGTTTGACCCACTGTTCTATCTCTAGAACCTCTCAGAACAACTCCAATCAGCGCTCACTGTCATTAGCACAATTAATAAATACATCTCACTTCATGTTTATTGTGCTCCTGTCGGGTTTCTGTCACATGGTTCAGAACCAGTACAAGATCTTTCACTGTTAGTTTCTTGTTTAGTTGAAAGAGGAAAACACAGCCAGCTCCCATTTTTGATGCCTCTAAAAGTTTTTTCATTTTCCAGATTGAATTAAATAATTAAGTGAACAAATGACACCAGAACCTGTGACACACTGAAACCCAACAGACTGTGTGCACTCTACCACCAGAACCTTTATAAAACGGCGCCGTGAGAGTGTCAGCAGCTCCTACCTACTGACACCACAGAGGTCCGGTACAGGAAGACCAGAGCCGTCTCCACCTGCTGAGGAGACTGAGGTCCTCTGGAGTGTGCAGGACTCTGCTCAGGACTCTGCTCAGGACATTACAGGACACTGTGGTGGCGTCTGCTGGGGAGGAAGGAGGGACAGAAAGAGACTGAACAGACTGGTGAGGAGGGCCGGTTCTGTCCTGGACTGCTCTCTGGACCCGAGAGGAGGATGTTGGCAAAGCTCACATCCATCATGGACGATCCCTCTCACCCGCTGTGGAGGCTGTAAGCAGCTCCTTCAGCAGCAGACGGAGGCATCTTGTGTATATACTAATTATTTCCTTGTACTTCTTTTCTATATTTGTAGATGCTGCTGTGGCGTCTACATTTCCACCAATGAGGGATCAATAAAACATATTCTGTTCACTATATTGTGACACAGGAGCGCCTCAGTATTCCCTCCTGTGAAGACATTGCCATTCAGCTGCCAATTCCACAGATGCTACGTGTGATTAAATCCAGCGCTGCAGCAGTCTGCTTACCTCTGCACGCCAACACCTGCGTGGAGAAGAGCGCCAGGAGCCACGCGGCGGTTTCGGCGGCGGCGGCGGCGGCCATCGGTGGCGTGTCGAGAGCCGGCCGAAGCCGACTGAACACTTCTCCGGCTCACGCCTTCCCTCAGAGAATAATCAGGCCTCGTGTGAACGCAGGTTACGTGAATTAAATCAAGCAGAATAATAACTTTTATATTGTTTTCTGTAATAAATACAATATCAAGTCTTATAAAAGCAGTTTATTTAATCTCAAGTAATTGAAAAGAAGAAAGCACTCAAAAATGTAATATTTTTCCTCGGTACACACCTCCACTCTCCTTACAGTACATCTGCTCTCCTTCATGTTCAAGTAATAGAAAATCTAATAGTGTGCAGCCTGCTCACAGCACTGCCTCAGACAAATAACTGCACATTACACATTAACAGAAGTTACATTCACTTGGGAATGCAAGCAGCCGATAAATCTTCACTCTGTTCGTTTACTTTTTCTAAATTTCTTTTTTGTTGTTGTTGTTGCACAATACAAAGATCTGTGGATCAGCTGTAAGAAAATATGTCTGAATCTGAGAAGAGCATCACGCAGTCCGCTCAGTGGTGCTCCTAATCTGCTTTCCTAGAGTGAGGGCGACATGATACACGTGTTTGAAATGAGTCATCACACTGTAAACTCACCACGATCCGCACGATGACGACGGCTGCTGCGCTGCCAGACAGTACATCCAACACTAACACCTTGTTCAGAAAGTACAACAACTTAAAATACATGAACATTCATAGTTAGAGCTCGTGACGAACCCACCGGAGAGGGTTCAGAGGAGTGTGTTGGCATCTATTTCATCTGCAGTTTAGTACCCGGGGACAGTTTGTGTAAATGAGCAGTTGAACCAAAACCTTTATGTTTCCTGCCTCGTAAGCGACGACACTCACCATCTGCACACCTCTGGAAAACATGTTTCTAGCTTTGTGCCTTATTTACGAGTCTGTGAGCTGAATTAGCAGTCACACACTTTGAAGTGAGGGCGGACGAGATGATGCGGCGGAGTTTGCTTTGGCCTCCTTCCCGGCAGAGGAGTCAGCAGCAGGACGAGCCCCGGACGCTTCCCTCAGCTCAGTGCTACGTGCTGTACAGGACTTGCCACGACCCCTGATGGAGAGGACATCAAAAGGACAGTTCCTCCCTGATTCTAACAGTCCTGCTAACATTTAAGGTGTTTCTTGCTGGTCATGTCGTTCCAGATGCGGTGCATCTCCTCGGGAGAGATCTGGTGGACGGTGACCACCCGGCGGTAGCGGCAGAGGCTGTAGGCCATCTTCCAGTGGTTAAAGCCGCTGTTCTGGAAGGGGTGGATGCCCAGCTTCCGGAGGCACACGCCCACGTACACGTCCTCCAGGTGCAGCAGCCTGGTGTGTAGGGACGTCTTGTATATGAGCTCAGCCACGTCTGCGGAGAAGATGTAGCCGGTGCCGGAGCAGAAGGGCGGGTACTTGCTCTCCGGGTACAGGTCCCTGGGCATGTACCACTTGCTGCGCATGTCTCTGATCGGCCCGCCGTTGATCACGTAGCCGGTGAAGTACCTCCTCCTGGGCTTGGTGGTGGGCTTCAGCAGGTTGTAGATGAGGTTCTCCATGTTGACGAAGATGTCACTGTCCGTCTTGAGGACATACTGAGCCTTGGGGCAGAAGGTGGCCACCCAGCGCATGCCCATCAGCGTCTTCAGCGTCAGGTTGTGGTAGGAGTCGATGAAATCCTCCACCACGATGTCGTGAAAGATCTGACTCTCCTGCTCCACCATCTGGTTGAGGACGGCGTCGGTGCTGCGGCCCAGCAGGAAGAGCGTGACCACGCGCACGTCCGGGAACGTGCTCTCGTCCCCCCATGTCTCTCTGATGGCCTGGCGGGCATCAAACTCCTTGTGGGTGGTGCTGATCAGAATGACGAGGAAGGGCGGCTCAGCTTCGCACTTCTTGGCCTCGTTGATGAGGTAGCCGAAGTCGTGCGGGTTGAGTGAGCGCGTGCGGATGTTGCTGAAGGTGGCGTTCTTGTTCACCTTGGGCGTCTTACGCATGGGGATATTGAGCTGGCCCACGTAGGAAGTGGAGGGGCGGGACACACTCAGGTACCACAGAGCGCTGGCCCAGCAAACCACCGTCAACAAGTATAAGCAGGAGACCTTAGAAGGCATCGCTGTGCACTTGGCTGGCGTTATCAGGGGCAGCAGTGTTGGAACGGTTGAGGCCAAGCCTCCATGGGGTGTGTTAGATCCGGCGGCGCAGCTTGCGGCTGCCTCCGCAACACAGCTGACATTAATTTCAGATAATGGACTCCAATGCTGTCTAGTGTCGGTGTCGTCGTTGAGCAGCAACACTGCAGAGTTTTCCTGTCATGTCCTCGGCCCTACTGTGCTCCATCGCAGCTCGCAGAAGGAATTTCATCTCCAAGTGACAGCATCTAAAAAGAACAGACAAACAGACAGACATCAGACCCTCATAATGAAACGGCAGCAGGAAGATAAGGCTGTTGACTGGAGGTGGAGCGCCTGCAGACGCTATCTTCTACTTTTGAAAAGGTGTTTATAGCAGGCGGGCGAGTGACACATTTAACAACACTCCTTACTCCCTATTCATTACAGCCCATAACGTCAGTCCAGAGGCTCTGTGCCGCAGACAGTTAGCCTATCGCTCCATCAGCGCCTCTGATGAGAGCGCTGTGGTCTGAAGAAAGTGAATATCCCAGCAAACAGTCTCCATTGATGGAGGCTGCTCTGCTTCCACTCCGACCACTTTCTGTTTGCAAACGCTGTTTATCTCCCTCTTATCCCCCCTGGACCAGACACAGGCTGGCAAATCAGAGCTACTCCGGCAGTCTGAGAGGAGGAGGAGGGAGGCAGAGAAACTCAAACGACCTCATGGGAAAAGATTAATATCCTCTTCCTCTCATTCCCCCTGGTTTCACTCACCCATTTACTCCCACCGTTTCCCTCCTCACCCCGGCCTCTCCACAGCGCGCCGTCACACTGAACCCGACGTGTGGATTTTACATATTTTACCCTGTAATGAGCTGCTCCTTCGTTAGCTGCTCGGCCTCTGCTGTGGAGCTGCAGCAAACTTTTACCTCTAATTGGACACACTGACACGGGCCATAAGGATAAACCTAAACTCCAAACATGGAATATTTATTACATTGGGGTGGATTTAGACGTCAGTTTGCATTCAGGGCCGCTGATGGATAACCAATTCACGGGATTTCGCCGTCTGAAAGACAAACTGAATCTAATCCTTCTTTAAAAACAGACTTTTATTTGCCTCAGACATAATCTCTTCTGATGTGGCAGCCGCGCTCTCCTCCTCATTCTGAGGAAATGTATTTTTCATCGTAACTGCATAACTGATGATGAATGGAAAAAAGTGCCATAGATTCTATTACAGATACTGAAATATGCACAGATGCCTCTTGTGCTCGGCTTTAAGACGTGATAAGAGCGCCTCCTTCTTTTATCGGGCTCCGGATTTGGTCGCGATGCTTCGTCTCATCAGGACTTTTCTCTGATTCCTCCCCTCGGCCTCCCCCCACCACCTCCCCACCACTATCTCTTCCCTTTCTTTCTGAAGAAGAGTCATCAATCTCACGGTCCAGTAGAATCCATCTCATCATGGCTGCTTTTCCACACCTCCTCCCTCTCCATCCTCTCAATCACTCTCTCCTTCTCTACTTCAGTGGGCGCTTGATCCATCTTTATATGTCTCACTACCTCCCTCCCTCCCTCCTCTGCCTTCCTTTGGCTTTTTATTGTTTTTGTCTGCTTTCCACCAGCCTCTTGTTCCTTTCCTCACATTACCCAGAAGTGCCTTCACCTTGGCGGCGTGTCGTTATTTTCGGAGGGGTGCAGCATCCTCTCCTCAGAGCTTGACTCCAACTTATTGACAGCTTCTCCTGCAATCAGTCTCCCTGCAGCCACTCGATCTCCGCTGGCCCCTCCACTCCCGCTCAGACAAAATCACTAAATCATCATATTCATCTCCTTTTCTCGACCTCGCTCCCCTTCTTCCCGCTCTTGCCACTCGCATGTCGGCTTGTTTTCACCTCCAGGAGGCTCTATTATTCTCATAATCCTCCGCAACTACTTTACGCTCATTTTCCCGGCGCCCGGAATAACCAATATCCTCCTTTGGCGATGCACCTCACGAAATCCTGAGACCCGACGTCGCCCTCAGACCAAATTGAAAGACGGCTATATCGTTTCATGCTGCCGTGTCACTCTGAATTACATTAGCGCCGAGAAGACGCCCTCTGCTGAATACGTTACACCTCCACGGGGATGTCGGGGCTCGGGATCACAGGTTTTAATTGTGGTGATGGAGCCGGTGCAGATGGAGATATTTTGTAAACCGCCTTAATGTGCGGTTAGTGCGAGCTAATTTAACATTCAAACACAGACTCGCAGTCTAGTGATTCAGCTGACCTGCTGCTGGATGAAGGATGAAGGATAATTACGGCAGATTTTTGCCAGTCGAGTGTAAGTCTGAAAGAAAAACCTGTGTTTAGATGTTAGAAATAGTCCAGAATGCTTTATTTGCTGTGTTGAATCGTTCGCTAGTGCCCTTTCTCCTGCTATATGTATGTATAACTCCAGTTTATTAAGTGCATCGGCTTAAAATTAATGCAATCTAATCCAATAGTCCTGTAATAAATCCTCCTTCTTCAGAGCTAGAATGTCGAGCTGTTATTAAATCAGTGTTGATTTAACTTTGTGATCATATTGGAGGATGCAGTTTGTGTTGTAGGGCAGCACATGTTGGAATAAACTGATAATGTGACGTTTTGTTTTACTGCGATGTGAGAAAATACAGGAACTTTAACCAGATGACAGAAAAGGGGAAGGTTCCTATGCATCAAAAAAATATTAAAAGAAAATGGAAAATTGACTTTTACCTTTAGAACAAACCCTCCTCGTGTGTGCAACGCCGACAAAAACATCCAAAGTAGTTGTTTGCGTTGGGTAGCCATCACATCAGGCTTCGTCATGCAGAGCTTTGTGGTGCCGGTTTAAACGGTTAAACTAATTAGCTTTGCTTCCTTACGTTGCCGCAACAATCGCTAGACAGCGCTGACAGAGAAGCTGTCTCTGGTCAGCATCATGCGTCCTATAGCTGACAGATCTGCATACGACTGATGCTGCATTACAATCAGAATCAGTGTTTGTCTCATTTAGCTGAGCACACGTCGAGCCGACGAGACAAACACTCCGTCTTCTGAGTAAAGGGAAACAGAATCCTTTCAAACCGGAGTGAATGATGTTCTATCAGGCAGACGGCTCTTGTAGATGAATGTTTTGTATGAAGAGCAAATAAAGCTGCAGCGCAATGAGTTCATTTAGGATGCGACTGTTGCACATGTGCATGCTGCAGGAGACAGCTGAGTCATTTCGGGCACAGAAGTTGCTGTGTCATGCTAAGAGCTGGTGCTGGTTGGGACTCCGGTTCTGGAGCATGTTGATAATCCAACAGTGGAGGATTAGATGTCAGCCTGTCTGATGAAGACTGCTGCTAGATGAAGACATCACTGCTGATTGGTCCTCTTCCAGTTGAACCAAGCAGCATGACACAGCAGTTTTTCCGGGCCGATCAGACCGACACCTACAACGAGCCCAGCAACAGGTTCCTGCAGTGGAAAAGGCCTTTTAATTGAGAGATCATCTGGACCATATTTCATGAGCGGTAACGACCACGTGGAAGCCGGATCGTAGATGGTTATTAAGTGGTGACTACATTAACGCCCCCGTTTCATAAATCAGCCGTTTACGTGGAACAGAACCAGCACACGGCGGCTTTATGTCTTTAACAGTTTCCCTGTGGAGGTCATTAAAGTCATTCTGATTTTCATGTTGTAAAACGTTGGTGAAAACTTCAGTGATCGTCTTTTGTTCCTCTGTTTTGTTTTGCTTTCATCAGAATCCCCTTCGTTATGTTTGGCCGATGATCATTCTGCTCGCTCAGTCCTCCAGACCTTCTGTCACTCTGTATGATAGCAATATGCTGCTATAATTAACATCTCTATACGTGTCAAGTCGATCTCTTCCTGGTAAATCATTTATCAGGGAACACCCTCACGCTCACATACATGTTACCATGGTTACTACATGATTTGCATAAACGTACGTCCCTCGCAGAGCGCCACGAAGACGGCTTCTTAGTCACTTCATGGCCACAAGATTGATTTAATCAAAGCTTTTGAGTTTAAGCTAAAACCACATGACTACAATGAGAAACTCTCTGGTTGCTCTGCTTTGCTTTCACACCACAAAGGAGGTTCAGCTGAATCACATCCGAAAGGTTAAAGATCCCCTCCAGGCGCGCTCTGAAAAACGCTCCGCTCTGAATAATAATTTGGTTTCCAAACTAGTTGTGATATCACAAATCCTGCTTACAGGATTTTACAGTCAGATCTGAGATAAGCTCAGAGGAGGAACAGCAGGAGAATCTAAATGCAGTCTGGTGCTGTCAGCTCAGAGTGAAGCTCCGACGAGAGGAAACACTGATCAGGGCCGTTGTGAGCGGGAACATTAGGATGAGCAACGAGGCTGTTAAAGGCCTGAAACGGGCCATAGCGTCATCATGAGGTCCAACATGCAACGGCTGCAGGTCCTGTTTGTTCCTAGTGTCTGTGACAAAGAGAGGAATCAGAAAAAGCTCTCTGTTCTTTGGAGTTTGCAGATTTTGCAGCCGAGCCAGCCTCTACCTTCAGCACCGAGCGATGAGGTAAAAATACCAGCTGTGAAATGTCAGCTTTTTTATGCACATCATATTAAAAGTTACTGAAGATAAACCTCAGCAAACGTTTAAATATCAAACCCACCTGCCTGCTGTTAATACTAGAAAAAACTAAATGTGATGATTAGGAGCCTAAACCTGAAGTTATTTATATAAAACCGGTTGAACTCGCTGACATTCTGACTGATGACTGCGAGAAGCGTCAATTTTAGTGACAGAAATAAGAACACGACTGCAAAAATGTGGCTATTATCCCTTAATATCGCAGTAATGTGTTTGTTTACATGCCCCCAGACGCTGGAGATGTTAACGAATAAAACACGACTATTAGAACCGCCCTGCTGATAGAAACATGCCAATGGAAGCATAACTCCAAAATACCACGGTGCAGTAAAAACAGGCATTAACGTGTGAA